TTTTTTTTTTTCTGTTGTGTTTGAGGTTTATACTCTGTATGCCGTGGAGATGTTTGGTTTCCGTGGATGGAGGGTGGTTACTGTAGGGTGCCATATTTGTTGATGGTGCTCAAATACAACACAACGCGTCCTTTTAGAACAATAAACTAAAGAAACAATACACTGAAGAGGTTATATCTGCTAGACGATGACTATAATATTCGAAACATTCGTGGAAGAGCAAGAACGTGGCACACCAACAGTTCTACGAACACAACAAGAAGTCTCACCTTTAAGACTGTTAATATGAAAGATAAGGGGCACACAGTAGCGTAGTTGATCGAGGCACTATGCTACAAGCAGGAAGGTCGTGGGTTCGATTCCTGATGAGGTCATTGGATTTTTTAATTGATCTAATCCTTCCAGTCGCACTATGGCTCTGGGGCCAACTCAGCCTCTAACAGAAATGAGTACCAGGAATCTTCATGAGGTTTAAGAGCGGCCGGCGCATGAGGCTGACAATCTCGCCGCCATCTGTGAACCGAATGTTCAGAAAACTGGGGGACCTCGAATTCTGGCAAACTTATGAGCCTACACGGCCTGTGCAGGAATATATTTAGTTTCTTTTTATGAACGATTACTTTAATTTATAACCGAGTACATAGTGATCTTTCTCGAATTTCTTTTGGGAGGACGACAGGAGGTATGAATTATCATCTCCAATTTGGACCGAAGAGAGGTTAAGTGACAGGAGGTTGGAGAAAACTACATAATGAGGTGCTCCATAACTTGTACTCTTATCCGAGTATCATTAGAATGATAAAGTCAAGGAGAATGAGATGGGCAGGGCATGTAGCACGAATGGGAGAGAAGCGAAATCATATATGATATTGGTGGGAAAGCCAGAAGGAAGGAGACCACTGGGAAGACTAAGGCGTAGGTAGGTGGACAACATTAAATGGATCTTAGAGAGATAGGATGGGATGGCATGGATTGGTTTGATCTGGCTCAGGATAGGGTCGGGTGGTGGGCTCTTGTGAACACGGTAATGAACCTTTGGGTTCCATAATATGCAGGGAAGCTCTTGAGTAGCTGCATAACTGGCGGCTTTTCAAGAAGATCTCAGCTCCATGAGTGAGTGAGTGAATCGCTAAGAACACGGCTTAAGCTATCACAACTTGAATGTGGCTTAAATTCGTCTCTCCTGCTTCTCCTTCTCTTTTTTGACTTCAAATATTTCTGACCACTGTCGGCTTCTATTGCTGAATTGTATGGGCACCTGTGCATTTTATTCATGAAATCTTTCTCTCAGTTGAATTAAGCGACACACCAAAACCTGTATTTAGTCTCATTTGAGTTTCTCAGAGCTGTGTTTAGGAAGAGTTCTCCTTCCGGGCATATAACGCCCGAATGTAGTCAAAAGAAAGCCAACATTGACTTTGAATCTGAATGGACTACATTACGTGATTAATATCGTAGGAAATGTTTTCCAATATATTCAGTCCTTTAAGTAATGTAGTCAGTGAATTCAACTTAAGCGCATGAAACATAGAGTAAAACCATAAAATAGAGGTGCTGCAGCCTATGTGAAGTTTAATCAAAATCGATCAAAAGAACTGTAAATAGTATAAGAAAGTTGATTTAGTCTGCTAAGGGAAGCGGCGACTAAATGCATTAAAACAAAAGAAAGTGGCGAGATTTGAGGTTGTTCCAGTGGTGAGTATCCAGTTTATGGTATCATCTAATATATCATCATATAATTTGGCAGATTATCTTTTCAGTCTTAAATGCAACTATTTTCAATTTTATTTCTCCTCTTTAGGACATGTTTCGGTCTCATTGGCCATCACCTTGCCTTTTGTCTGCGCCAAAACTGTAGCACTGTATAAAATATATAAAATATTCACTTATTTATACACCTCCAAATCTGATGTTTCTTTTATAATTTACTTGAGGTACACTCCATATTTTTTGCATTGATTAATTTCACTCACTTTCTAATTTAATGTTGTTCTGAAATTTCTTAAATTTTCTTAAAATTATATAATTCTTACACCTCTATCAGTGGCGTCTTCCAAATGATATACTTCTATGCTGAGGCTTCTGTTCGTAAGCCTTTTCTTTGTGTTACCATTTGTTCCTATCTCTATGTTGTTCCTTGCCTCTGCGTATGTTCTGGTTACCTCTTTTGTGTGGACGTTTGAATTTGGTAGATGGTTACCTAAGTAAAAAGTAAAGCTATCCCTGTAGCAGGTCATGAAGGCCCATAGTGTTGTGAGACGTTGAATCTCCCACACGTTTCGGAATAACCTGCTGACTCATTTTAGGGAAGATTCAAGTTTCTCCGAAACGTTGATATCAATCTACCAAACTATACGGCGACCCATCCCAGAAGACCATAAAATCTTGAACCAAAATCTGTTGGAAATGCTCTGCTTTTATGCATGCTGAGGACTCGTGTACATGATAGGAACAATGTGTTGGGGCCTCACCCAGCTGTTGATTTCGTCCACCCGGTAGCTGCTATACTGCTCAATAAAGCAGGCCGACCTGTTCACATATTCCTCTACAGTGGAGTTCGTCCACCACTGACGCATGTTCCCGTCTTTGTCGTACTGCCGGCCTGAAACACAAGCGTCAGTTGGAATTCAACTTAATTAGACAAGCTTGTTTCTCAATTCACTATTTCAGAGTGCATTTGTTCGTTAAACTTAACTTGGTTCATCCTGCTCCGTCAGCAACACAGGGTAGCCTGTATAACAGGACGAATGTACCAAAGATCTCTGATCATTAGACAACGAAACCACATTGTGGAATATATTCATTTTCCATCAAGAAGAAGTGTAACGACATGAACCAAATTTGTCCTAGATTAGGACAAATATTGTACACTCATTTGCAAACAGACTTATTGTCTTAATTTTTAGATGTTTTAAAAAATCGATGTAAGCTTATTATTAGTTAAAAGATATAATATATATCTATGACATGGTAATACTAGTTTCCATATATGTTGATAATATCCTTCTGAAGATGGTCGTTCTGACCGAAATATCTAAAGGATGAAAAATTAAAAACAATTTTTTTCGATCACATTGGACGGTGGTTAAAAATCTTATATATAGTTGTTCGTGCTTAAATTCTAATCTAAGTTCAGTTGAAATACAAGAGACACGAAGCACTTTGCCACAATGGTAACATACTTCTTACTCTCTCGGTACTGGAAAGAGAATTTATGATGCAGAGAAAGGGCAAGTAGTGAACCCACGCCAAGCAGGTTGGTCTCGTGGTAACGCTCTACAGTTGTATTCCGGCTATTTTGAATTAATTTCTTCATTGCCTCCAGGAAAATAATGGGTATTTTCTCAAATAGGCCACCACCGTTTCCCTGAAAATCCTTCTCAGTTCATGATTTGACATTCATTCTACCGTTCGACTATATGTAATCCACATGCTGACAATATCGTAAAATAAGTTACAGACGGACAAAGAATATCACATTGATTTCAAATTAATTGATGGAGAAATTGGCCTACTTACATGTATAGGGATTATTATACTGTATGCATCTAGTTATGTTGCTGCATAATGAATTCTGCGGCACACAGTCGCTCTGGTGTGCAAGAAATATAAAGGCTATGAGGAGCTAATTCATACACGTAATTGTGCTCGCAAATGTCAGTTAAGCCAGTTCAGTTCACTCCACGCTCTCACATTCGGTTCCTCTGCGATACGATTTAATGTTTTCCTTCCGTGCATGTCTGCCTTGATCAGTCTCTTCCCGCCAGATATCCTAAAGAAACTGTACATGAATTCCTTACCCGCCCAACTCCAAAGCTAGGAGCCTACCCCCTGTCAGCCCTCTGCTGCTAATTCAGCATATTCGTGTTTACTCCCAATATCTGGAGGTCGGCTCCTCCAGCCAAGCTCTGAGGAGGCGTTATGCTGTGTGACATGGGTGCAACTTAATGTGGTTGTTATATATCTTAAGTCTACTTGTAAGTAACCTCTTCATTTCACTGTTACTTTTCGAAAAGTAGAAATATTTTATTAATTTTACTGCCTTTTCTAAAGTAATATCCTCGTATAATGTTTATGAAGTTACTTTAATTATTGTTGTCAATATTTCAGCAAATGTTCACTCTACAGGCTTTACTGAACTATTTCCTCCTTATTTTAGTTACCGGACATGTTTTCCTCTTCTATTTTATAAGAACCTCTTTAGCATCTGCTAAGTCCCTTAAGATTATTTGTTTCTTTAAGAGTACACATTACGAAACTTCTAGGATTTTAGATTCTACTTGATCTCAATAAGAAGAGCACTTCTCTAGGATGTGACTCCCTGTAGTCTGATAAAAGGGCATCACGTTTCGAAAGGACCTGTTGCTTCCATCCTCAGACAATCCTGAAGATGTTGAAAGTAGATTCCATCAAGAAATTGATATCTTTCAACCAGACTTCGTGGCGTCACTTCCCAGAATAATGCATTGTAGCATGTAACCCGTTGCTAAGTAACGACTCTGTAAACAACGCCCGTTGCTTGGCAACAGTTTTCTAACCCACCAATGGACTAACTAGGAATCGGTGTTCTCTATGATTTCCGTGCGACAGCTTCATGACGCAACAATAGAAGGAACGTCGGAAGTGATGTTTTCTATGCTGTCCGTGCCGAGATGTTCTATACAAAACAAACCGAGAATTTGGTTCTTTGTGAGAGTCTCCGGCCAGTAAGAACGTGAGCACAGAAGCTGAGAAAGCTACTGTGATGGAAGCTCTTACGAGGCGTCAACCGGTGAAGGTAGAGCAGATGAAAATTTAGTGCGTGCCGTAGCAATACACTTATATGGTGTGTGAGAATTGGCGATAGCGCTTTATTTACTTATTAGTTATCAGTACTTTACAACATTAATGTGGATCCTATCTCGGTGTGACGTCACCGTAGACGTACATTGTACTGCATATATTTCGGACTCCTGTCTTTCATTCTTCAAAGAGAAGGAAAGAAAACAGGGAGAGTTTCATAAATGCCGGCAATGCAGCCAGCAGCAACGCCATGCCATCAAAGAGAAATGTTGAAATTCTGTGAAACTCTGAAATTTTGAAGAATATGCACACTAAAATAGAAATGTAATCTGAAATCTTGTAATCGGGCTTCGGGTCTGGTCCAGTCCTCTTACCTCACCTGAATTATCGAATCCATGCGTCAGTTCGTGTCCCAATATGGTTCCTATGGCTCCGTAATTCAGCGCTCTGGAAACAATCATAGGCATATATCAGAGATGCCAACGGGAAAGCTGTCCTAAATACATAGAAGGAAGAGACGTGATATAAGGCAGAGATTCTTAATAAAAAAAAACACTGATGTAACATCCATTGAAATGTCATAATTTGTTACAGACTAATTCACTTTCGTAGTGTAACTTCCTCTTTTTGCTCTCGCAGTCGGTACAGCGACTGGCTACAGGCTGAACGACCGAAGGGTCGGAGTTCGAGTCTCGGTAGAATGAAGAATTTTCTCTTCTCCACGTAGTCCAAACCAGCTCTTAAGTCCACCCAACCTACTACCCAATGAGTACCGCAGGTTTCTTCACCGGTGGGTAAAGCGACCGGGACGTGAAGCTGACCACTCACCTCCAGCTGTTGCCGAGGTCAAGAAAATATAGATCTATACATCCACTCCCACATACGCCTTCGTGGCGTAGTTCGTAATTAGTTAAACACATGGACAGCTTTCATTCCTTATAGTCTTAAANGAAGCTGACCACTCACCTCCAGCTATTGCCGAGGTCAAGAATATACATCCATTCCCACATACGCCTTCGTGGCGTAGTGCTTAATTAGTTAAACACAGGGACAATTGTACCTATGCAGGTTGGTCGTGACGTCGGCGCATGTGAAGGTAAACGTATCATTGATTTCCTTAATGCATCCTGGGCGTTTAGGTTTTTTCCTTCGTTTCTTGGGGTGGGGTGAGACTGAGTCCACTTGGTACGACGACCACTATTGGCCTATTGCACCAGCCCCGGATGATAGATAATGAGCGTGGGGGAGTCGGTCGAATGNCATTGTGTAACTAAGCTCATATATTAGCCATTGTACGTTACATAATGTTTTAAAGTGGCTTTAAAATCGATGTAAGTACAACCAGGGCTGGATTTAAGGGGGATCGACTGGGGCGATCAGTCCGGGGGCCTCCACAAACATAAATATGATCCACAGGTTTTATTGAGATGTTTCAGTCTCTCAAATCACTAAAAGTGACTCAGAATTACTGTTTTTTTTACTTTATCCAATTTACGGTCTTCTAGAAACTAGGAAACAGAACGTTTCGGAAACTTGATCTGTTTCCAATGATTGAAGTTAGCTCTTTCTAAGGGTCCCAAAACGAGTAGTTGTCTTCCCCTCTTACCTGTGGACGGAAACAGATCTAGTTCCTTAACGTTGTGTTTTCTACCTTCTAGAATACCGGACGATGGACTAAGTCCAAAAGCTCAGTAATTCAGAGTATTATATACCATCCTCAGAACCCTTTAGAATCTACTAAATTTCCTTCTGTGCTTTTATTTACTACAAAATGAGAACAAGAAAATAATTGTATAATCCAACTTTGTTCTTACTGATAGGAGCCTCCACATTTTGATTGCCCCCCCCCTCCAACTGTAAATCCGGCCCTGTCCACTCCTCATACTTACTCGAGACCCAGTCCGTAAAAGGGGAACTGCAGAATTCCGGAAGGCACTGCTGTTTTCCAGAAAGCATGAAACAAATCCACAACGGAACCAGCTGTCTATATTTGTTCGTTACAGAGCAACGGGAATCTCCAGAAGTCAGGTATTTAATCTGGATCTGCTACATACTGTCACGTGTTTAGTGCAATTAGAGACGAGCTTCGGATTGGTAATTGGATTTATCGGAAACTTTCTCACGTAACTACAAACAACTACGATAGTCTCACTGAGTTGCATATTTCAAAGATCACTGTAATTAATATTATATTGTGGCATTCTGTTGTACTTTTCACTTAGCGTTTTTAATTAGTTCTACAGTCTTACGTGCAAAAATTTATTAAAACTTAAAAAAGCTATACAATTTAAATTTTTTCACAGCATATTTCGACCGAACTGGTCATCAGGTGTGTGAGTGAGAAAACTGCTGTTTTTCTGTGTTGATGTTCAGTTGTTGATACGTTGTTCTCCTAGTGCGCATGTGTGTAGTCCTCCTTGCTGTGTTATGTTCCCCGTCTTGTTACGTTCCTTGTCCTGTTTTCAACTGCAGTTGAAAACAGGATATATCAGGAGCTAAATATCAACGTAGAAATGCACACGTTTCCTCACGCACAGCTTCTAACACCTGAAGACCACTTCGAGCCAAACATGTCGTGAAAAACGTTTAAAGTGACCAGCTTTTATTAAGTGTTAATAAATTGTTGCACACAAGACTGTAGAAGTAATTAAAACACCAAATCACTGTAATTACAGTACAAAATAAAATCTCAGTCTTCATTAGCTGTTGCTTGGTAGCGGCATTCAACGGCGGATATTCCCCTTCCTCTGGGTTCCCAAACTGTCCCGAGCCTCAGGTACCAGCTTCTCATTTCTCAAAACTGACCACTCTGAACTACTAGTCCTCGTTATTTATCCTAAGCATAGATCGCACAGAAAACTCTTGTAGTATTGCGTGTTCTCCCGTTGCCGGGGAAACATCTTTTCCACAGAGCTGTTCCCTAGTAACTGCTGTTGTACTGTCGCCTGTTTACACAGCTGTTACTTGGCAGTGTGTTTACATGTCACAATATCTTTATCAAGAGCTAGACTAATACAATATAAATACATATAATAATTCATGAATATTCAACGTAGTATGTTTTGTAACAGAATATCGCTGTCCAGTGAGTAGCACTTCAGGTTCTTGTTAAGGGGCCCTCATTCAAAATTCTTGGCCAAAATTCCCTTTCGTTTCCGGTCTGAGAAAAGAACAAAACCGTGTCCAATGGCGGTCTTACGAGAGAAAAGAAACATTAGTAGCTATAGACGAAGCGATGTTACTACTTACTAATGGCATTGGCTTGGAAAGTGTGAAATGCATTGACATCTGTAGGTTCGGTAGCCCAACTGAAAGAAGAGAAAGCAGATCAGTGCTTCAGAGAAACATCAAGTGGGACTCTATTGAAACAGTTACATAATAGTACCCCGCTGCAAGATAGCTGATAGCTGATACTTGAGAACCCACTATAGGAAGTGTCCAGTTTAGTGATACTTCAATTGTTTGTTCTTCGGAATTAATAAAATTTTCTCACTATATTTAATATCGGATCAAGGAATAAAACAAGGCAACCAAATAAATCACTTAATTTGTTATTACATAATTAAATTGGAAATTATTATTTATAACTCTGTATTAATCCATGAATTTCTGCTTAATAAAATATGCCTATATGATTTAAATTGATATTTTTCGGTTATTTATTTTTATTTAAGTAAAACTTGGTTTCCAAGCGGTAGCGTAGTTGGTTGAGGCATTACGCTACAAGCCAGAAGGTCGCGGGTTCGATTCCGATGAGGTCATTGAGTTTTTTAATTGACCTATTCCTTCCAGCCGCACTATGGCTCTGGGGTCAACAGAACCTTTCACAGAAATGAGTATCAGGAAGCTTTCTAAGGGGCAAAGGGCCGCTGGAGCGTAAGTTTGATAACCTCGCCGCCTTCTCTGAGCAGATTGTCTAGAAAACGTGGGAGATTCGACTTCTCATAAGCTTATGGGTCTCTCACGACCTGTTACAGTGATAGCTTTTATATATATATAATGATTTCAGAAAAATAGCTTTTATTATCAATATATGTGTCATCAAAATTGTATTTTAGCTAATAGGTCTATTGATAGATATTGACTTACTCTAACTTTCCAACTAAGAAGACATTTTTCCCTTTTTATACTTGATGATGGAAACAGTTTCATCTTCAGAAACGTCGTGGATTTTAATATGCCTAAGACAAAGGAAATGCCAAACGTAATCTTTATATAATTAATAGGCCATTACCACTAACTTTTCGATGATTATTAGAGTCTATGTAGTGTAGCTACTAGCAGAGCTGTAAAATGGCCCACCCGAGGCAAATAATGTGGACATACCTGTCTTCGTCATTTGGTTTCCTCAGGCTCTGAAGCATTGTCGTCGTGAACAAGCCAACGATTCCCAGCATGTTGTACAGGTAGGCTGTTTCATTCACGTGGACCTGGAGAATGCATAAGCCAAAGTAGCCGAGGAACATTGCTTCCATAAAAAGTGGACAGTTTCTTGACCAAATTGGCGATGACTAGCTTCGAAGGACACCCCTTTGCTACACTTAGCTAACCTCCGAGCAACTGAATAATTTCTTCTGGACTCCAAAATAAATAAATAAGCGAGTAAATAAATAAATAAATAACTCCAACATTCATCGAAAAGCAGCCAGTTGTGCAGTCACGCAAGATTTTCTAACATTTAAAAAATATGTGTCCCAGGAGGAAAGGTTAATTTTCGGGGAGGTCATAGAATGGTCATTCTAAACAAAAAGTGTTTATGTAAATGTGTCCTATTCCGAACGGTTTCCGAGATGTAACTATTTCACTCTACATTTACAAATTTGTTGATAAGGAAGAGATATTACGTACTGTTTGTAACACCGGTGTTTATAGTTCAGGCGGCAAAGTTGGTACAGTTTCCTAGCATAATATATATATTTTTTAACATCCCACCGTCAACATCAATGCACTTTGCAACCCGTGTGAGGACATGACATGTTTCTTGTTTGAATGCATCTTAACGTTCCTGTACAGTGAAATAACTATCTCGGAAACCGTTCGGAATAGGACACAAGTACATGTACAATTTTTGCTTAGAATGACCAAATTCTATGAGTCCCAGAATACTGACTTTCCCTTCTGGGACATCCTGTATATAGAGAAACAAGGAAAGGGACAATTAATGTATGCCGCTATGCGTATGATTCTTGAGAAGCTATCGCGTTTTATTCTTCCTCTATTGTACCATTAAACTCGACAGAACATTTCATCAGGGTACCCATTTCTACCGGCTGCAGAGTTTGAAGAAGGGGAATGTCCCTTCACGTCTCCACAAACCTTCATGGTACGCTGCTTAACTAAGCACGTATTGCAGATGGACAGAGTTACACTGTTACAAAGATACGTGGACAGCGTTTACTCACCCCTTCGTAGTAGGCTTCCAGTTGGTCCCTGTCCAGAAGCCACTCCGGAAATCCGACGAAGTGTTTAACTGCCGCCGCCTTTTCCAAAGTTGCGATTTTCGTTTCCTCGTCCATCCAGTCTGCCGACCGCACCAGAGACGAGAATGCCCACTGAATATCCACCAGCATGTCCACCACCTGTTAAATCCTCCTTTACGTTGAATTCATCTTCATAAATTCTTATTATAACTACTAATTGATGGATTAGTGGCGAATACAAGTTCGGTACATAAAACGTTCGAATTAAGTTTTGCATCGTTACCACTAATACAGAAATAAAACTGTGGAGAAATAGTCTTCAAAGGAATGAGCCTACATTTGTTTGTTTATGGTATATTTAACGACAGGGTCATGTTATACAGCGTCGACTAGTAGGACAATTGGTGAATAATTCATTTAAAAGACTGTGGAGTTAAGCGGTCGTTAGCGGCCTCCGTAGTCTAGGGGTAACGTTCCCACATCATGACTCAAGGTACGCGGGTTCAAACCCGGCGGAGATGGTGGAATTTTTAAGGGCTGAAAATTCAGGGTACAAGTCCTCCGAGAGGGACTTTAAGCCGTGGGTCCCGTGTCGTAGATTTGCGGCACGTAAAAGATCCTCATGTCTCTAGGAAACCTCTGAGCAAAATTAGGCAAAAATGTTTCCCGTCCAAGTAGTTTCCAATGCCTGAGGTAGATGGGGAAAGTTATCGGGCACCAATGCCAGTAGAGGGCCGACCTCGCTGGCAGAAAAGGGAGAGTTATAGGGTACCACTGCCAGTAGAGGGCCGACCTCGCTGGTAGAAAGGGGAGATAGTGGGCACGAATATCGGTAGGGTATGGAGACAGTAGAAATTAAAAGGGGACGTACAGTAGACTATTAGTCGCGGTGCATGGGGAAACCCACCCCCTCTATACTGAATACCTGAATAAGCTGTCGTTGAATAAATTCAGGTAATATTTCGGCATTTACTGGAGAGACCGGGGAAAACCACCAATATCCCAATCAGGATAACCGATGTTCTTGCGAGATTCGAAGGGGACACTTCCCGAATACAGGCCAGACACTTGAATCAACTTTCTTCCTATAATATTAAGTGCACGTATAATTTACGCATGCGTTACTTGAAGTTTTCATATGTTATTGGATTTTATCTTCAGTCATTGAATACACAGATTACTGCTTCAAAGGCAATCATACAATCTGTGGCTCTAGAGCAGTGGTTCTCAAGCTTTGTGAGACCGCTGCCCGGCGGTTGAGAAACACTGCTGTAGAGTCGGCTTCCATAAAATGCTGGGAAGTTCTTGAGTAGCTGCACAAGTGGCAGCTTCTCAAGAAGGGCTCAGCTCCAGAAGTGAGTGAGTGAGTGACCCCGGTAATCATATGATGATTGTGTACCAGCTAAGATGTTTCAAACAGAGCACACAAGTATCAAGCAGCACAGCGCCTGAAACTGTTGTTTATTGTTTTAAATATTTAACATATAGAACCGATTTCTCTAAAGTCGTGATTGAAAAAGATGCCTTAACAAGTCCTACGGTATGAAACTGAAAGAAAATGTAGATTTCAGCAAGTTCTTATGAACGCACCTTACTTTTCGTGGCGTTAAGGAAATTTGCATCAGCAATGAAGTAGCTCACGGCCATGCCCATTAAATAGTTCACTGCATTTGTACAAAACGTAGATCTGAAACAATACAAATTACTTACTTGAACTGGGGCATTTATGCTTACATTAATGCCTTCAGATAAATTTCAAAATGTAGGAAAATATATCTTTATTTCCGTCTATTATTGAAGTCATCTCTAAAATTTATATTGAAACTTTGCCATAGGTTAGTGCCCTAAAGAGGGTCAATTCAATTTAATCATGTTGAGTAAATTTTAAATTGTAATTAGAATGGTCGAGACAAAGAGGATGAGATGGGGAGGGTATGTGGCAAAAGTTGGGGAGAGGAGGAATGCATATAGGATATTGGTAGGAAAAACAGAAGGAAAGAGATCACTATAAAGACCAAGACGTAAGTGGGTGAACAATATAGAATGACCCTTAGAATGGGGTAGTATGGACTGGACTGATCTGGCTCAAGATATGGACCAGTGAAGGGCTCTTGTGAACACAGTAATGAACCTTCGGGTTCCATAAAATTCTGGAAAGTTCTTGAGTAGCTGCACAATTGGCGGCCTCTCAAGAAGTTTTCAGATCCATAAAGTTAATTATTTGGTTTAGTACGGTAAGTTTTATAATTAATATAGCTGCATAAGTTAATCTTTAGTAAAGCATTTCAATATTAGGCGTGATCTTCCGTATCGGTTGATTCATTAATGGTTAATTGAATTACTCTCTGTCACTGGCAAAGTTATGTAGTACCGGATGAATAATGTTTGACCGATGAATAGGACAGTACACACTATGAGGAAGAAAACTGCCATGATCCATTTTAACGCACTGCTCGGAATGTTCTGGAGACAATGATAAAATCCAAGAGGAATTCAACGTTGCCGGTCACCTGGCCGAGATTTATGTTCAAGATATCCTGACAAAAGAAAAGCAACAATCTCAATAACTAGACCGGTCGTTGGTCACTGTCTTGTGCCCCATCCAGTGTATTTTTAAAGACTCTCCAAAGGAAACAACATGCATGACGTGGTTGTTTTACTCAGAAATTTTAAGTAACCAAATATCAAGAAGTATGTATCTTTTTTTTTCAATTTTTAAGCAGTAATAGAGATTCTCGTTAAACATACAAAAATTAAGATCGCATTGGAGACAATAAACTTTAACATTTCAATAAACTTGAAATGCATTTTTGGCTCGATCCGCTGTTATTACAACTCTGATTACAAATATTATTATTATTATTATTATTATTATTATTATTATAATTGTTAATGTCAGAGATATATATCTTGAAAAAATTGTTAGTTCTCCTTCAGTCCTATTTGAGATATGAATTTAATTCTGAAAGAGAAGTATGAACTATATGCAAAGTACTACAAGGGTCAATCCACGTGACAACATACCTTGTCTCTGGAGCTCGTCCTCCCATAACCCTCTCGATGTAGCGTTCCTTCATCTCTCTCATGTCTCTGTTGGTCTGTGGTGCCAGTATATGTACCACCTCCCACCACATCGTTAGCTCTGAAAAGCACGTTAGCTCAGGATAAGAACCGTGTTCTCTCTGGCCTCCCATCTTCTCTCTTCATCCGGTTTCTATTGCGGTCCTTTGTAAACGAGAAGCTTTCTATCGCAATTCTCTCTTTGTACTATAATTTGCTGATAAAATATATTAGTACAAACACAAACACTCAACATTAGGCTCTGTATGGACCTACATTCCACCAAAGTAAGTGGAAATGCTATTTTTATCATTTCGTCAGTAAATTGTTCACTGTAACAAAGTTAAGCAAAGAATATTCATTCATAAACTTAAAATACGATATGTGGAAGATTAATGCTTTTAAAGTGTGTTGTATTGATATTAATGTTTTGTGTCTCCTTGGTAAGAAAATAAGATTTAAATTTTATTTGTATCTATCGTCTTCGTACTTTGTCACGTTTAGTTTGGATGTTTACTACATATGTTTCGACAACTACCAGGTCGTCTTCAGAGATATGTGTTTTTATGTTATCGGCTAAATATTAGGTCAAATATGTTGTTTGTGGTTGTACATGCTTTTGAATACTTCAAATGATTAAAAATTTTTGGTACATAATCATCTTATAGATAAGTACACATGTGGTTGTGCATAATTTAACCCTCTATGTTTATATATAGAACCACATACAACATGCATAAAACATGTACAACCATATTTTTGATGTGTGATATACTTACATATAAGACGGTTGTCTACATGTACATCCAGATGGCAGTGGTGTCATGAGCGCTATCTATAGTTATCGGACGAAATGACAGACCGGTACTTACCGAGAGTTTTACTGGAAGTTTCCGAAAGTAACTTCATCAGAGACTTAAGATAGTCTGCATTAGTCACTACGATCTTGTCCTCCCCACCTTCTAGATGAAGAGTCACGTTCTCAATCCCTTCAAACATGAGCGTGAAGTATTCTGTCCAGTTCAACTGTGGAGGAGAACAGACAGTTCAGCTGTGCGGGGATTCACAGGACCAACTGCAAATGCAAGGGCGCATCACATGAAGGCTAGACTCAGAAACGCTCAGTATAACTTCGGACAAACTGATCGTATATTCCAGTGTTTTCTTGCAAATACGTGCCATCTGTAAGTTCACCTTTATGGAATACAAATGATTCGTTTCAGCGATTACAAAACCCCACTAATAGACCATAATCTCTGGTGCTGTCAATCCATCTACTTTACATATGATTAGTGTATACCGATTCCTCCTGACAGGATGGTCATAATTATGCGACCCACAGAGCTCACTCAGACGCGAAACCTCTGGGCAGGAAAATAAATAATAACGTAAGAAATATTATATGCATAAGAATTAATGGTATGATTATGCGAAAATAAGAAGCTGCAAACCTTTGCGCCTGACCTTTAAGGTTCCATTGAGGTCATTATTCGTCCACTCTTGTAGTTCCTCCACGGACATCTCAACTGCTTCCTCTTCATCTTCGTCATTTTCATTCATAACCTGTAAGAATCATAAAGCAGAGAATTTTCGTCTTTTCAAGTAACATCTGTCTCCAGCAGTGCTCACTGACAACAGCGGACACCTTTAGGTGGACTGAGGACTCTTACTCTCAAATAACATTTTAGCAAATTTATTTTAAATGATTCCTCATATATAGACAGTGAGAAATATATACTGTATAGTAAAAGAAAGGTAAAGCTATTTTGAATTGTTTCATTTTTGGTCCGTTACACTATCAATCACAAAGTTAATAAAAAGTCCGTCGAGTGTAACAATTTGTAGGTCACTTCTTTATCACTTCTGCCTTACATGTTTCGGTTTGACACAACCATCATCAGAGGCACTTACTACAATTATGAAAACACTGTCGTTGTTTATGATGTTCACAGTTATGTTTGTTGTGTGGACGCTGCTACGATATGTCGACGTGTAAAAGCACAACACTTGCTAGGATGGTTGAGTGCATTATCAATTCTCACCTTCCATCCGAAACTGCCCTCAAGTTCAAACGCCAATATTAAAATATTTAAATATTAAAATTTTTTTTTTAATTTAAAACATTTGATGTAAAATGTTAAGCTCCTCCTTGTTAATTTATCCCGAAGATGGGAGATGTCAGCTTGAGGTTGTATGGCTTATGGTTAGATGTTTCCTATGTGCTGTGTGTTGTGTACAAATTGTTACACTCGACGGACTTTTTATTAACTTTGTAAAGGTAAAGCTATTCCTGTAACAGGCCGTGGATACCCATAGGTGTCTGGGACGTCGAGGCTCCCACATTTTCTAAACAATCGGATCACAGATGGCGGTGAGGTTGCCAGCCTTACGCTCCGGCCGTCCTTTCACCCCAGGAAGATTCATGGTATTCATTTTTGTTAGAGGCTGAGTCGAGCCCAGGGCCATAGTATGGCTGGAAGGATTAGGTTGATTGAAAAATCCAGTGACCTCATCGGGAATCGAAACCGCGATCTTCCGGTTTGTAGCATAGTGCCTCAACCAACTATGCTGCCGCGCGCCCCTTACATAATATACTTTTTGTTTTAAACGTTTTTACGTTAGATCAATTGTTCACAAGCCGTAATTAAAGAAAGGGAAATGTCTAATTAAATCAAAAATGTTTATTTGCTGAATTTTTATGACTGAAAGAAAATAAAATAAACGTTATTGTCTGTGATGCAATTCGTTAAATGTTTGCAGCCTTTTCATTTTGAGGCAGGAAATGAATGGTGCAACACAGTATGTAGGCCTATATTTAGCTGGGGTTATTGAATTGACAGAATTTTCAGGCTGCCTTCTTTATTTTGAAAAAGAATATAAATAGGTTTATGAGATCATCATGATGTCTGTATATCTGTGAATCCCCCCTATCAGCTTGTCTGAATCAGTCATTACACTAGTCATGCTCAATGGTAATACCAGCGGTATATAAGGATTAATTCATAATAAGCACGAAGCTGGGAACTGCAATGTTTACGGAAGAGTTGTAGAGCCTCTTAAAAAAATTTGTTATTTCTTCACGGAATACTTAAGAACTCTCCGGGGCAAAGAACAGGTATTTAAGCTGATGCAAACGTATATAAGACCGCCTCTGTAGTCCAGTGGTCAGAGTTCGATTCCCTACTCTACAAGATTTTTTTCTGAGAAGTAGTGGGTCTGGAACGGGGTCCAATGAGCCGTGTGATAATAATTGAAGAGCTATTTCAAGCAAAGAGCTGCTCCGGTCTAGAAAACCGAAATTAACGACCGTGGGGATTCGTTGCGCTGACCACGTGACACCCTGTATCCGCTAAAGTTGGTACTAAAATTCGCCGACAAGCGGCGGTCGCTCAGTCGTTATAGTTCGCTTGAGGACTAAAGTCACGGAGTTTTTATGTGCATATGATTATCAGTGTCCAACGACTGGACTGGTCAGCAGGAAGTATTTCCGTAATCTTCTCGCTGAAGGGACGTAATGATAATAGAGTTCTGGCGATCTGTGAAGAAAGGTTTGTCGGAAAATTGGAGCTAATATAAACGAAATTATTACTGTATGTGACACATCCAGACTGGCATATAATTCATACGATAACATTGAGAGGGGTGCCTGCTACAAGTCAACTGGTAACCACTTCGAAATATTACTGTAACCAGTAAAAAGTAGCATTTCCTTAGTATCGTGATACATGTTTCACTACGCGTAATGGCAGCATACTTTCAGCGGCCTTGAAAATTGTTAAAGTCACTTCAGATGCTGAAGGTAATAATTTAACAATTATATCTAAGGAAAATTCTAAAATAAAACACAAGAATATGACGAAATATATGAGTTACGGTTGAGGAATCAGCATACTCTTCAAGAGAACAGAGTTGATGATGATGATGATGATGATGAAGATGATCCAGAACTATAAGCAGGCCTATATCTAATAGCGTTTCATATTTCCGCATCTCAAAATGTGAAGATTATTCATTTCCCATTTGGTACTTTGTATTTGCTTACCCCTGTTAGCCGTTGGTCCATTTCAAGATGATGATGATGATGATGATGATGATGAAGATGATCCAGAACTATAAGCAGGCCTATATCTAATAGCGTTTCACATTTCCGCATCTCAAAATGTGAAGATTATTCGTTTCCCATTTGGTACTTTGTATTTGCTTACCCCTGTTAGCCGTTGGTCCATTTCAAGAATCCGTAAGGCGGCCATTTTCACTGTAAGGTCGAAATCCTTATCCAGGGACGCGCTGTTGTTCCACCTATATATATATGATATCGCCTGCGCGAGGTACTCCAGGAAGGCAGCAGAATATGCGTCCTCTTCCTCTTTTTCTTCTTTCATTTTCGCTTTTTTTCTTCTTTTTTCAATTTGCTTATCTATATCTTTGTACCTACAAAAGTAAGCAAGTTGTGTTAATACAGTCAATCTACTCGATGGCTCACGTTACGTCATACCACGTACAGGCAAACTTACGGAATAAAAATCTTGTGCAAATAGGCTTGAACATCCCATCGGCATTTGAATACGCAAGTTCTTTTCTTATATCATTAATGAATGTTGGAAATGTGATGAAAATGGAATGCATTAATATTCCAATGGTAAGGTAACGGTTACGTCACCGACTGCGAATGACGCACCCTCGTTTTCAGAGCAAATGGAGTATATACTGCATGAACATCTTCACGGATGCAATGCGAAGGCGGATGGAATCATTCAGTATCGCCGTTAGCTGTCCATTTTATGACATTTGTATGATACGATGTTTCCTGAACTGATTCTAGTCCCATCTCCATTTTGCATTGCACTGAAAGATTTTCTCTTACATTTTACTGTAAAATTACTCGCGAAGGTGGTTACAGAACCGGGACATTGATACCTTAAAATTTAATCAAGTGGAAACGCAACGAGGAGAATTATTTGAAACGTCGTATATATATATATATATATATATAGGATTTGAAGTTCTCACAGCGGTGGTTTTGAAGAATTCTGTCTTCTGGGATATAAAGCCGTATAGTCTTCATCCCTGAAGATGAAGGTGACATGTTCCTCAGAAACGTCGGTTGACTTTCAACAGACTACACGGCATTTTAAACCAGAAGTAGAATTCATCGTAAAGGCAGAAAACACTTTAGATATTGACAATTTTCATCAAAATATTGGCTTAAAATCCGTACATTTATATGTGTACGCTACCAAAACAGAACACGAACTGTCTTACTACCTGAGAAAGGCATAACAGCCATGACATGTGGAGTCGAAACAGTCAAACGTAATGGCCTAATTTTATTTTACCTTGCGACGATCATGACGATCATGATGATGGTGGTGATGATGATGATGATGATGATGATGATGATGAGACGGTAGTGGCGATGATATGGACGAAAGTGTTAATTGAGCTACTGGGTGATTACACTGTGTCAATGTGACAATGTTGTCGACGTTTAGGAGGTATATGCTGGCTCAAATTTTAAGGTCGAATTATGCAATGCTGGTTATTTTCCGTGTATACATTTGTTTATGCTCTGACTAAAACACGGAAGGAGGCAGAATAGTCCGCTTAGGCCAATGGGGAGGTAGTATATACCTCTGAAACGTCGGTAACATTGCCTACATCGATTAGGTGTAATCCTCAGATAACTTAATTAACAAGCAATGGTTAACAGCAGTGAAAGCATAATATCAGTAATGATAAAAATGTTTGAGTCCCGACTTTAATGGTTACAGTTGGCAACTTTAATAATTTTAAACTCGTTGAGATAGTAAACAGGTTATTTCTACGGAAAGAAATCTCTTCTTGAGCAATAGATAATTATTCCGGTTATTAATAATCGCGCCATCATTTATGGAACACGCAGGTGCATTACTCTCTGCCGCAGGTTACTAAACACAATGTGCTTTTTATATTAACTGCTCTAATGTCGTCGGGACAAAACAAACTTAAATGGCGTGTCAAGCTGTTAATTTGCTCTGCTTCCACGCTCGTTTTCTTGTTCAGACCTGGAGCTGGAGGCGACATACCTATATTCCTCCGAAACGTCAGTAGACTTTCAACGGACTAAATGGTGTTACGTCCCAGAAGATAGAACTCTTCTTAATATAATTTTATTTGCGAATTCACCAGATATCAAAAGCAAAGTTTCCGTAATTAAATATATTATCCCTTACTGTTTTTTATTGCTACTGGTGTGGGACTAAGTCTGTTGTACTGCGGCCACTTCTGGCCTATTGTACCAGCCCCAGATGATAGGTGAGGGTGATTGTGGAGCAATTGGTGGAATGAAGATTGGCAGGGGAAAACGAAGTACTCGGAGAAAACCTGCCTCAGCGCCACTTTCTCCACCATAAATCTCACTTGACCAGACCCGGGATCGAACCCGGGCCGCCGCGGTGGGAAGCCAGCGACTAACCGCTTGAGCTATGGCGCGGCCTTTATTCCTTACTTACTTACTCATGGAACTGAACCCTTCAGGAGGAGCTGCCAATTCTGCAGCTACTCAAGAATTTCCCAGAATTTTAAGGAACCTGAAGGCTCATTACCGTGTTCACAAGAGCCCTTCAACGGTCCATATCATGATCCAGATCAATCCAATCCATACCATCCCATCCTAGCTCTTTAAGATCCATTTTAATATTTTCCACCCACCTACGCCTTGGTCTTCTTCCCAGCGGTCTCTTTCCTTCTGTTTTTCCCACCAATATCCTATACGCATTCCTCGTCTCCCCCATTCGTGCTACATGTCCTGCCCACCTCATCCTATTTGACTTGATCGTTCTAAATATATTATTCCTTATGGATATTATTACTCGTAGATGCATAAAGATAAAAAGACGGACTGTTACGGGAAGACAAATTTGTACTCAGATACTCTGGCATGCACCTAACACATGTACCGCTTAAGGTCGAAAATTGCAACACCTTTTCTCACACGAACGCTTTCATACCGTATGTCTGTTGCGCCAGGAAAGATGCCATTTACATAGCAATGATCATAATCAGTTTTGCAGATATTGCATCTGAATCCGGACGTATGGGTCTAAAATCTAAGACAAAAATTTCTACATATCGATTATTATGCCTTGAAAGATAATTGATTTGTCTCGATAGAGATATCGTACCCTGGCAAAGGTGACCTGACATCCGGGGTTCCCAGCGTCAGTCTCTGTATGGTGCGGTTCGAGTTCTGTGGGTATATCGAGAAACCGACCAGTATATCCTGGTAGAGTAGCCGCTTAGTCTTCACAGCTATCGGCACCAAGTTGAAAGGCTCTTGTGTGGCTTCTTTCTGGAGGGAGGGACGAACCTGCATCCCAATGTCCCTCAGGAACTGAAACATTGGCTCCAGGCCTTGCGAGTCCAGCTCGTCTGCAAACAATTTGAAGGAATGCTCGTTAACGTCGGGATAAATGAAATAAGAAGACGCGCTTTACATCTCAAACGCTGTTATCGCAACTACACAAATCCCGAGTTCAACCGCTGTAGTGACTAAAGGGGCTGGACTTTCTGGGTTGTGTCGTGGTATAAAAACAGTAAAGCTATCCCTGTAACAGACCTTGAAGGCCCATAGGGTTGTGAGACGTTGAGGGTCCCACATTATCTAAACAATCGGCTCAAAGATGGCGGTAAGGTAGTCAGCCTTACACGCCGGCCGCGCTTTACTCCCCAGGAAAATTATTTAATTAATTCCTGATATTCATTTCTGTTAGAGGCTGAGTCGACCATGATGCGGCTGGAAGGATTAGGTCAATTGAAAAAATCCAATGACCTCATCAGGACTTGAACACCCGACTTTCCGGCTTGTAGCATAGTGCCTCAACCAACTACGCAACCGCGTGTCCCTGTGTCCTGGTGTACGAAAGAATTTCTCTCTACACTGCTGCCTTGAGAGCGGCAGGCTACGGGCTGGACGGCTTGGGTTCTACTTCCGGCAGGGGCAAGAGATTATTTTCTACTCCACAGCGTCCGGGCAAATTCTAAGGCCCAGCCAGCCTCCAGTATAAAGAGTGCAACAGGCTACTTCCTCTGGGGAAAAGCTGTCGGTGCGTGAAGATGACCACTCGTTTCCATCTAGTACCGAGGTCAAAAACGGTGGATCTATACATCCACTCCTCCATATGTCTCCTTGGTGTAGTATTTAATTATCTAAGCACAGGAACAACTTTACCTTAATGCATTCATATGGACTCTAAGGCCCACCCAATCATGTTCAATGGATACTGTGGAGCCAGAGTAACAGCCATTACTAGGTAACGATTGTATAATAGGCAAGAAAGAAGTAACTGTTAGAAGCGGTGTTTTCTGTGCGGTCCGTGCCGAGACTATATAACGAGGACAATCTGCCATTACGAGAGAGTGCTGAGACGGCAGTTAGAAGAGTACGAGTTTGGTGGGAAGTGGCTGCCGGCCTACGAGGACGTGAGCCCGTGAGCAGAGAAATGTTCACTGTTCGAAGATGTTACCAAGCAGCGCAGTGAATACCGTGACTGCGTCTGATAGTGATTTGCAAAGAGTAGTCACGTCGTCTGTGTTAAAGTGTCCAATAAGCCAGATTACCAATCCAAACCCCGTCTATGGCCATTCAATCACATGACAAATCAGGTAGACCTGTTGCTCTTGAATCTAGAATTATATCATGTAGTAAAGTATTTCACTCGGTTGAAGTGCGTCAGTTCTCTCCTTACACTCGCTTAAGCTCACAGTAATCATGGACAGATGTGAACGGTAAGTTTGCACCAGAGCTCACCTGTATTCATGCACGACATGTACATGATCCTGGCCTGTGTGACTGGAAGTGGTTCATTCTCAGAGCCATTCTTTTGCAAATTATCTGAAACCACACAAACATATCGGTTGCATATTACAGCCATTTTACAGAGATTTATGTCAACACGTTTACTTATTCACTCACTCCATCTCCTGTCTTTGAGCTGTGGGGACTTTGTTCTGTATCCTTTCGGGGCGTGTTGATAAAACAGCCGTATATACTGCATTTACAGTTCGATTCCCAGAGGAGGCATGAGAAATTTCTTTACTCCACAGCATCCAGACACGTTTTGGGGCCCACCCAAGCTCCTGTTAAATTGGTATCGCTTTTCTCCGGGGGTAGAGTGGCCGAGGCGTGTAGTTGGCCAATCACCTTCGTCGCACACCAAGACTAAGAATAATTGACTTATGTCTCTACATCCCCATACTTCTTCACGACGTGTGCTTAATTAAATAAGCAGAGGGACAACTTTACCTTTTGTAATTAAATTATGGTATTATTTTCAAATGCCGATCACAGTGACCGCGCGGTCTGAAGCATGAACTATCTCCGCTTGCTCAAACGCTGGGATCGTGGGTTTGAATTCCACTCAAGGCATGTATATCTGTGTGCCTTTATTCTGTATGTAGGTAGCAGCTTGGCGATGGGCTGCTCACCCGTCCAAAGAGTTCCACTGACTGTGCATAGGATTAAAAAACTGAAAACGCGGCCAAGGTTCAACAAAGGGCTGTAGGGCCGCAGATAGTTTCCCAATTCACAAGTGCTTCTTTCAGCTACGAGCCCAGGCATAAACCACCAAATCACAATAAGGGTAGGTCTGGCCGAATGACACCTATCAGAAAGTTCTATCACTGGCCTCGGGTTCGCTTCTTCAAGTGTTTATTTCTTGTCACAATTGGTAGTCTTGTATACAATCAACATATACACAGAGTTTCCCTTACCACGTCAATAAGGCCGCGCCATAGCTCAAGAGGTTAGTCAGTGGCTTCCCACAGCGGCGTCTCGGGTTCGATCCCGTGTCTGGTCAAGTGAGATTTGTGGTGCACAAAGTGGCGCTGGGTCAGGTTTTCTCCGAGTACTTCGGTTTCCCCTGCCATTCTTCATTCCACCAATTTCTCCACAGTCACCCTCACCTGTCGTCTAGGGGCTGGTACAATAGGCCAGAAGTGACCGCAGTACAAGGGACTTAGTCCCAGTCCCACTACCAATAAAAAAATACCACGTCAATAAGCAGAACATGAGGGTTACCATCCGTGTACTAGCCTCTACTTCGGCCCATCACGTGTTTCCTTATTATTACAGTTGATAGGACCGAGCATAATTAACACGACTTCAAAATGCCCTTCCTCTCGTCAAGAAGGAGAACTTGAGGGTGTCTATCCGCATTTCACCCGTCACGAAATGTTGGTGCTTGCCTCGAATTCTCCTCATCACGTGCTGTGTGCGCTCAGCGAACCAGTTGTGCTCGATAGCGGTGTCAGGGGTCGGATGCTCTTCGGCCCAATTGCCGCATGTGAAGGTGTAGAAGTCCTCACATGGATCCACGGCCTTGTCCATGGACTGCAAGATGTTGGCGGCTGCAACAAGCACAAACAGTGTAATGAGGAACCCACATGAAAGCCAAATTTGCATGGGAGTACTCTTCAAGCGCGTAAACTAAATGGGATAAAAAGACATATTTACGCCTCTTAAGATAATCTAATTTTATGCTCTTATTATTGCAGTAAAATTAGCATAACTATAAAAATATATAAAATTGCATTTCACTGAAGTCATAGTATAAAATATATAGCCCTCTCTAAGCATGAATTTTGTCTATACAACATGTAAAAGTTAAGATTTATCACAATTACAAGGAAAATCTCTAAATGTTACACGTGGAAATAGTCGAAGTTTTATATATGAACCACAGGAAACACACACACACACACAAAGGAAAAAAAAGGTTTTGTGGGCTAGCGGGAGATTTTCTTTTTAAGGTGAAAGTATGTGGTATAAATAGTAACCACAGCGCTTTGAAGAGTTAAACATCCTTTTATGAGAAATTTAAATTCAGCTTCTCCCAGTCTCGTTTTGCAAAACGATTCTATAATTTCCCCGTGTTCCATTTTTGTTATATGATCGAGGTAGAAATTTAATTTCTAAAATGCCTATTCGATCTGTTGTCACCTTGGGACAAGCATCATCAGTTTTTTACATACCAGACAAGTAGGTCTTAAAATGATCACTGATAGAAAGATTAAAAACTGATTTTGTCTCATTTTATTTTGATTTTAGGAGAAAGGGGAATGAGCTGTGTCAGTATGCAGTGCTGATGGGAACAAATGTCATATTTTTCAACATTTTAATCTGCAAATCTTAATAGAAAAGCCGTTTTAGCACCCCAGGCATAAATGCGTGAGTAATATTCAAATAATTTTCAAGATGAAGAATGAAGATTGTGGGCTCGATTGAACTTCCTCGGACGTAGATGGCAAGTAAGAACGGATATCACAATAAATCTTAAAGAAGTGGGGGGGAAGGCATGAACTGTATTTAATTGTCTTAAGATATAGTCCAATGGCAGCACACACATGCAGAAACCTTTTATCTTAAACAACTCCAACTGCTGGAAGTAGTGTTGTTTTGTCGAAGAAAAAAATATATATTATTATTATCTTTTAGACTTTGTAAAGGGTGGCGAATTTATTGATAAGCTAAGTGACCGTAAGATTCTGAAGGCGGACTTTGCTCTACAGATGTAACTATTTGCATGCAATCAAAACTTCTGGTGCGCCCGTTTGTGCTAGTCCACGTTGATTTTTCTTACTTCATAAGTCTTCAGTTTTATCTTATGTTAAATTCTGACGCTTTATTTGTTACATTACGAGTGGCTGCAAATTCATTTTATAATATCGAATTTCATAGTTTCCTTTCAACTTAAGGTTCTCTGGTTCAATTCCAAAATACTGTTTGCGGGATAGCATGTTGCACGCTATTCCTTCTCCCATACAGAATATTCATAGCCGAATATCTGTGTCATCAGCTTCGCAGCTTTGCTTCCTATCGTATTCTTCCACGCCCACTTCGCTACTCCTCATCTTTAATGTGAATAACTTGCAAGCAACAGCAGGCCGGTAGGACTGCGGCATGAATTCAAAGCGATAAGCTCAAAGTAGATATTAATCTTCTTATTTTCTTAAGAAATATGAGGCATTCTCTTGCTCTTTATAGAATAAGGTTAGAATGAGAATTCTGTTCTGCATATTCATGTAAGCACCACACCACTGAAATCCTTGTGGGTTGAAGAGCCTCTGGCATCCTTTCGATGTGGCACGAAGTGGACCCCTGACACTTGATAGACTTGAAGGCTTTTTCTTTGCCTCTGCCATTATTCGAACCCAGATTGTCCATATGTTATTTTTTCCTTGGCACTACAGCCCCAGTGGGCCTAGGCCTACCTCCATGAACTTCTCCGTTCACTTCTAGATCTTACACATTCGGTAGGACTCGCTTCCGAGCGAGCGAAGACAGTGCTTGCCTAGACCGCTCGGCTACCGTGACCGGCTGTCCATATGTTAGCAAATACGAGTATTATTCTTAGTGGAGTGAGACTGAGTCCACTTGGTACTGTGGCCAAAACTGGCTTATTGTACCAGTCCCAAATGGTAGATGACGGTGATACTGGAACAACTGGTGGAATGAAGGTTTGCAGAAGGAACCCGAAGTAGTCCGAAAAAACCTGCAGCACCCCTTTATCCACAGTAAATCCCACGTAACCAGACACGGGCTCTAACCCGGGTCGCCGCGGTGGGAAGCCAGCGACTAGTCGCCTGAGCTATGGCACGGCCCAGATATTAGCCTATATTTGGGGACTATTCTTTTGGCCATTCAAGGTCATTCCATGACCTCCCACTACCGGTCTATAGAGCTACCCCTCGCTCTAAGGACAGAGTTTCAAGGAGGAGAAAACTGTGGTGGCGTGGATGAAGGGGCGTTGACCTTGATCGGCCAAAGGAAATATCCTGGACTGTAATCAATATATGACTGACCTATCTCAACGTTTCCCTTAATATGTACTTGTACATACGTAAAATACGAGTATTACTGAACAGGCATCGATCATAATAAAAAAAAAACAACATTTTACCGATAAGATTAGAGTAGATAAAATTATTTACTGAATGTTCGGGGTGTGGACTTCCATGCAGTAAGTGACGTAAAGCCCCGAGACTTCAGTGCTCAGCTGTGCAGGTCATAACAACAGGGCTCGTCAAGAGAAAGCCATTGTGAGCCTAAGGCTCTCACTGCCATTGATCTGAAGATTGCTGACGTGTGAGATATGACGCCGTGCATTCTTGTAGATCGTTACCATCATTTTGTATGAACGTGCTGTCATCCCCGAAACATTAATATTATATTATATTTATTTATTTATTTGTGTTTAATTAACGACGCTGTCAGTAGCGTCGAAGTTGATTTCTGAAATGAAAAGGACATGCCTGGAAGCGGTCTTCGCCAATTGGAGGTACCTTCCTGATATCTGTCGGCAGGGACTGAGAAAGGTCACAATGAAGTTCAGTGAAGATAGTATGTGTTCCAGTCGAGATTCGAACCAAGGCACCTCTGGAATATAAGTATGTATCGCTACCTCTTGAGCCATTTTGTTCAGAAAAGTTGGTAACGAGCTACCAGACTACATGGAGTTACGAGACGATAGCAGTCTTAAAGAAAACAGAAGGTCGTATTCTCAGTTCCCACGTATCGCATGATATCCTTGACTTTATCCATAACTCCTATTCACTCATGACTCGAGCCCCATCGTTGCACAACCCACATGAACAAGCGTTTGTATGAATGCTGGAGGATGTTTATCTACATGCTTCTGTGTTGAGCATGTTCCTCCTTACAGCAAACTCACCTGACCGGATGCAGTCAACAGAGTCGCATGTTCGGACACCAGCTTCATGCCGGGAGTCTAGAAAAGATAGACAGCTTAACAGTTTTCATCCTACACACATTAGCACTGTGAACACACTCTACATTGAATAAATGAATGAATGCATAAGGGGTGGGCCATAATAATCCGGCCTTTGCACTGCGACCTTCAACGATCTATTGTGCCTTCGCTTTTTTATTAACTCTTTAGCAGTCCTCCGAAACGTCGGTTGAAACAAGATCTACACGGCACCACATCCCAGAACACGGCACTCTTCATGTAGTATTTGAGGTTCCCACAGAAGTCGTTATGAAGAGTTCTGTCTTCTGGCGTATAGAGCCATGTAGTTCGTTGAAAGCTAACGGACATTGCTTCCAAACTGTTTTCCTGCTTGGTTTATTCTTCGACACTAAAGAAGGAAACGAAATCTCCCTCCTTAACATCGACTGACGATCACCAGACTGCATAGTGTTATGTTCCATAAGATTGAATTCTTCCGTAAGAAATCTACGAACAAGTGTCTTCATTCTCCTAAGGAAGTTATGAGTTTCGTGACATCAATTAAATAATTAACTCCCTTACTCTGTAAGCAGCGAAATACGGGTTGAGAGGCAAAGCCCACAATTTTAAGGCGAAGGGTATGAATAAGTGTTTCCGTGTCAGTAACATACACGTAAATGTTGTCTTTAATTCAGTTAAGTTTCACGAAATACTGATATCAGGTTTACAAACATTTTCAGGTGCATTACGCTATGCAGTCTGTGCGGAACGCTAGAAGCAGTTTAGATTCTTGCTGCTTGAGATTTCTACGTCAACTTACACTGGTAAGAGACTACAGCCAGGGCGACTATCAGTGCGACGCTGAGAAGAAACGCCGCGACCAGTAACACCAATAGGCGACGCTCAGACTGCGGCCTTCTCCTGTAACTGTGTGACAAGCATAACACACATGTGTTGGTGATGAAACGGTGGAGTCGCATCAAACGCGCATTTAACTTGCGAGAATTCAACAATATGCTCTCGCTAAAATAAAAATTTCAGTAGCGCGGGCGATTCGTCTACGGCTCGTTCCCCGTCAACGAAGTCAGTCCCTGCGTCTTTCTTGAATCATCGCGAAGTATTTGTAGGATTTGAGGTTCTCACCGCGGTGGTCATCAAGATAACTATGTTCTGGGATACAACGCAGTGCAGTCCGTTGAAGGTTAACTGAAGAGCGCTGCTTGTCACCTGTTTTCAAGCTGGGTTATTGATCCGCTTATTCTTCGACCCTGAAAATGACACTTTCCACCGAAACGTCAGATGAATTTCAACGGGCTACACGGCGTTATATTCTAGAATATAGCACTTTGGATCACTCGATGTCACCTCCACGTGACAGCCCTCAGTGCCAAGAGAACCCTGAACTCCAATTTGCAAATAAATTTCTATAAAGAAACATATATAATAGGCTTCAATTAAAATTAGGTCACCCAGTTTCAGCGTTTAGCTCCAGCGACAAAATTTTCAGTTCATAATTTTCATTTGAAATATATAACGAAACTTTTACTTTAGATTAAAGAATATTTATACACCTTAACAGCTAATACGCAAAGTTTAGTTGTGTAATTAGAATATCATTTCTTGTTACTAAATTTATAGGTTTACATTTTGAGGTCTCAGGATAAAACATCGAAAGTCAGTTCTACTTAGACGAAAATCTTCGTGAAATTGATCAAGTCTGTGCAATCTATTTAAGAAAGTTAAAGCTGATCCTGTAACAGTCCGTGGAGGTCCATAAGATTGTGAGACGTCGAGGTTCCCACATTTTCTAGACAATCGGTTCATAGATGGCGGTAAGGTTGTCAGCCTTACGCACCACCGCACTTTACCCCCAGGAAGATTCCTGGTACTCATTTCTGTTAAGACTATAAGTCGACCCGAGGGACATAGTGCGGCTGGAAGAATTAGGTCAATTCAAAGCCCAATGGCCCCATTAGAACTCGCACCTGCGACCTTCCGGCTTGTGACATAGTGCCTCAATCCACTACGTTTCAGCATGCCCCCTTGCGAACTACGTACATATGCCAGAACTATATTTTGCGATAAGCAATTCAAAAACAATTTTGCATGTTGTTTACTCGATTTCGCAGTGTTATGAATTGCATAAACTGTGGAGGAGAGTCGTGATTAAGTAATTTCCTCGGGAGGCACTGTTGGTACTTACAAGGCTCCTCTGGATGCAACAGCGACAAGGTGGTTATTACTGAACGTCTCGGAGATGGACAAGGTAGCAGACGTAACACCTGAAAAGTACGTAAATAAATCATGAATCATGAGAAGGTAAAATATGAAGATCTTGTGTATTTATTTCTTAAGCTTTTTTTTATTGCTAGTGGGGTGGGACTGAGTCCCTTGTACTGTGGTCACTTCTGGCCTATTTTACCAGCCCCAGATGATAGGTGAGGGTAATTCTGGAGCGATTGGTGTAATGAAGATTGGCATGGGAAACTGAAGTACTCGGAGAAAAACTGCCACAGCGCCGCTTTGTCCACCATAGATCCCACTTGACCAGACCCGGGATCGAACCCGGGCCGTCACTGTGGGAAGCCAGCGACTAACCGCTTGAGCTATGGCGCGGCCCTTCTTAAGCTTCATTGAACTGCTCTGACTTCCAAAAATTTTGATGAAATCTAAATATTAAAATGAAGATAAACGCAGTCTGAGTTATCTCTGTGCTTAACTAATAAAGTATCCTGCCACGAAGACGTATGGGAGAGTTGGTGTATAAATCCATGTATTCATGACCTCGGCATTAGGTGGAGGTGAATGGTCGGCTTTACTCCGCTTTATCCCCGAGGAAAGAGTCACCGGTACCCATTGGATGGGACGGTGGGGACGACTTAGAGAAGCGAAAATTCTTGACCCTACCGGGACTCGAGCTTCGATTCTTCGGCTGTTCAACCCGAAGGCAGTCGATATACGGACTGCGCTATTCAGGTTCTAGAGTGAAGTATGAAAGTGCTATAAGGAATGAGTTCTTCTACAGTTCCTCTGTTCTGGTCAAAATCATAACCCTGCGATTACGCCTGTAAACCCCATCACGTTCAGCAAATACATTTAATCTGCACTTCGTATCAATTACTAGATTATTACAGGCCAATTTTATATATTTTTTTATTTTTATTGGAGTTCTAAATATAATTAGAGTTGAATTATTGAATCTTTGTTGAATTGAAGAATTCTGCTGGTTTGCTGATGTATATTTATGCACTGACAGGGCCTCTTCAACATTTGATAGATAACAGTCGTTTGTCATGCGGCAGTTAATTCCTACCAAGTCCTTTCACGTCGTGTGAAAGGACAGCCGCTTCGGCGCTGCTACTGTGCCTGTCTTCTTTTGAAAAGAAGATTAATCTCTAAATTGAAATGAAGATAATTATTCAGGCAACTCCATTACACACAAACTGTTTGAAGCTAAAGACGTTTATGTTATAAATTATGGTATTTAGGCTGATAACCACCGGGCTCTTCTGTAAGAACCTCACACATTGTTAGGCCAGATGTGTATAATGCAGACCAACATACGGGTAAGTGTCTGAAAGAGACCTGCCCGAACAAATGTGTTCAGCCTTCCATGCAGTATACAAGCCGACAATATACGTATATAAACCGCTTGTCTTAACTAAAAGTTTATGATGTAAGATTTGAGGTCTTCACAGAGGTAACTATGAAGAATGCTGTCTTATGGGATGTGGTGCCGTGTAGATCTTGTGTGAACCGAAGTTTCGGAAGGAAGTATTGCC